GGTGGCCGGTGAGGGGGACCGCGCGGCTGACGGCCGTTAAATATTTTACAATAATACGACCCATGTCCGCGAGGAAACGTGACATTAAAAGAACACGGCGGTACCAAGCGTGATTTATTTTTTTCGAATAAGGTCAAACACCACCACGTGTATATTGGCTATAATCGGAAATGGTGATGTGCCTTGAGCACTGCAAGCCCGAACGGTATAGGTACACACATGTTTCCGGTGTTTATCCAGTGATCGTGCGTTTTTTAGTGAGTATACGTAGTGACGTAACTAGAACATGTGATGTCCGCGGCGAAATATTGTAGATTAGAAAAAGCCGACCGACAACAAGAACAGCGAAAAAACAAAAGTCACCAGTTCGGAGCAAAAAGAGACAAAGGTCACCGTGCATCGGTGCATCGTCGAATCGTTTTGATACGCGAATAATACGTATACCCCCGCGTTTCAAATAAACACGTTTTCAGTCGTACACTCGCCGTCAAAAATCCGAAAAGCGCGCGCACGCTATATACGCGCGTATACGCACGACCGCGCCACCGTATTTACCCGTCCGAAATTCGGGTAAACATAATTTCTTTCTGTACGTGAACTGTCTGCAAGTATGTATGTACACCCAATGCCCATCTATTAGACTTACGGCTGTGAATATGATAAAGATAAAAAAAAAGAAAGCGTTGACGTAAAAATGTATTGCTGCGTATGTGTACTGCGTTGGATTTACCCAGTTTCCCGGGTAAATGCCCGTCACTAACCGTAGGTAATCGGCGTGCGCACACGTCTTCACTGCAGATAGGTGTACTCGTTTGTACGGTCCGTTTCCTACGACGACGGCGTCGTGTAACGGGCAAACGAATAACAATTGGACGTTTGCACGCGTGACTCAGGACAACGCGGCGGCGGCGGCGGCGGCTGGTGAGGGACGACGCGCGGTGACGGCCGACGCCACCGCACCGACCGCGGGCGTCTCGCCGTTTGGACCGTCGCCGCGAACACCGCGGTCACCGCGTGCGCCGACACTCTTGCTGTAGGACACGCAACCGGCGACGGCGGCGCCGCCGCCGCCTTCGCCGTCGGCCGCGTCCCGATAGTGTGCGCGCTAGAGTATGTACGGGCCGCGGGAAAAAAAAAGCCGCGTGCCTTTTTCATCTCGTCACCATTGGCAACGGGAGCGCCGCGGCGGCAGATGAGTCATAATATATTACGTGTTTTCCCGACTACCGGATTCCGGTACCGCCGCCGCCGCAGGGCCTCCAGGGAAGGGCGAAAACGGAACGGAACGGAACGTTAACCTAATTGCGGGCCCTTTTACCGCGCCCCCAATATATTGTATGCCATTCCGCTGCTGGGCGAGCGTGTCACTCCACTGCTGCGGAAGCCAATTTTCGTGTTCGCGTCCAAGACGCGATAATAGCGCGCGACTGCGGCGGCCCCGACGGTCGCCGGATATACGCCGTGCATCACGCCGTATAAAAACACGTATACGCGATCAACTGCGGAAGTGTAATCGGAAATGCGAAAATTCAAACCGGCGTGGGAGAGGAGGTAGGAAGATTCCGTGCCGGCAGTCCGATCGGCGGGAAAAATGTATTGTTCGACGAGAAAAACGTCTCTATCAAATTACATGCGACGGGGTCGTCTTCAGGTTCATTCTGCGGAACTAACGAAACATTAAAACGCTTTAGTAACTAGTATTTAATTTTTTTTTTTTTTTTTCTAAATCATTGTAAAACCAATACGTTTCTCGCTCCGCAATCGAATGAGGATTATTACAATGCAGCACTGTCGAGTGAATCGGTTCATAATCACTGAATTCCGCGACACGAAAACTATTCGCGTAACAAATCTTGTTTGGCGGAGTAAAACGCATAGAGCCTGTAACGGTGTACTTGTTCTCATCTCGCCGCACCGAATTAGCGACCGGCAAATTTAACGGAACGAAAAATACAACCGGGTAAAATACTCGCAAGGAACCTCCGCGCCTAGACGGGAAAAAACCCCGGAAAATCCGAATTGGCCGTCGGCAGACGAGGGCGAAACTATCCTACACTACTCTGATTGGCGTGCGCCGTGGTCTTCGTCGTTACCAGCTAACGTGCGCGCTACGCGCGCGACGTTAACACGCGTGCCCAATCGTTCGCAGTCCAGGCACGATGAACGCGAAACCGTTTTGCGCGTGTTGTATTTTTTTTTCATTAAGAAACGCAATTTTTACCGCGCTAACATGAATCCTCCGTATATTGTGCGAACGTTACGTGCGCACACACGTATTAAAAATATCGCGCGTATCGACGAATAGAGAAAAAAAAAAAAAAAAAAAAAAGGGTGTGTTACGCGCAGAAAGATGCGGCGCGAGTCATGCGGATTGCGTGTGCGCGCGCGTTATTGTGTCGCGTCGCGCGCACTTATTAACATGTACGCGATCGTCGGTGTAATAACGAATGTGTTAGATGAAATTTTCCCGGATCCCGGAGGAATATGTACGCACGCGGATATGAGTCTAATTCGAGACGGGAGACGCCAGAGACGCGGGCGCTTTAAAGGGTTACTGGCCCCTGTGCGCGCACTAAAAATAAATACACCATTGGAAAAAAAAAAAAAAAAAAAAAGTTTGCCGGCAGACACAGGAAATTTCGTTGCACAGAATTATACGCGTGGATATATATACACGTTTTTTATTTTTTTTTTTTTTTATAATAATATATATACGTACTATAGCTATCGTTTACTCGGTGTGTCTGACAGGTGCATCGAAAATAAACGCAATAATTTTATATTACCTCGGCGCGTGTACACGCGAAATCCAAACAAAATGCGATACTCGTTTGGTTATTATTATTATTATTATTTTTTTTTTCAAACGCATATAAAAAGACAATTCGAACGTATTTTCAATGCGTACAGGGCGGTTTTATTTTTATCACGATTCGAGGATTTTAAAGAAATTCGATTTCCGGTTGTTTTTTCTACGGTAATTACGGACGCGTTTAAGAGCGATTGACAACGGGTTTTAAAATTTTCTCCCGCTTAGTAAAACTTGATTTTTTTTTAAAAAAATTTTTAACGACAATGTTAAAATGTACACTAATCTACTGTCCGATATCTGTTTAAGGGAAAGAAGTACGGACGTTTTTACGGACGAATAAGACGTTTTGATCGAAATCCCGACAAATTTGAAGGCATTGTATTTGACGATTCTTTACTAAATTTATTTTTAATTTTTAATTTTCAAAATCAGAATTATATATATAAGGGAAACACTTTAAGTAAATTTTTAAATTTTTTTTTTTACGATTTCAAATCAATTATAAATTTATATTTCCAACATAAATTCTATATAGTAAAGAACCTGAAAAATCATTAAAATCGTTATTAAACTCGAAATTCTTCAAAACATAATTCCTACAATTTTAACACGTTCAATAAAGATCGAACCCCTTAAACATTATTTTAAAATACCTAGCAGCTTAGTCCTTATATACTCCACAAACAAGTATTAACTTTTAATTTCCAAACGGTGACTTTGCCTTTTCAACACGGATTTGAGAAAAAAATAATTGATTTTCGATTTTGATAGGTATGTATAATATATTAAAATCGGACACTTAGCGTTAAATATATTATGAGTTGTAAATTAGCAGAATGTATAGGGGAGGGTAATAAAATTGTATTCCCTAATAACTCTGCCACCGGTCAAAACTGTATAAACTGCTAAACAGATTTTCGGTTCTGCATTCAATAGAGGGTAGGTTGGTTATTTAAAAATCGACATTCGATATATGCGAGTAGTGCAACTACGGAATAAGGGCATAAGTATAGGAAACATTAACTAAGTATTAAAACAAAAAAAGTACAATGAATATACTAAAACGTAACTATTCATACAATTTTCGGTATCTAGTAATATAAATATTCATTAACATAGCACAATAATATCAATATATTATTATTATTATTATTATTATATATATATATATATTCATGACTACTGCTTTGCTGATTTCATCAGTTCGAAAATATCGTGGTCAACCAATATTATTTTGATAATTTCAACAATATTATAATATTATGTAAAAGTTACTGGCAAATAAATAGTAATAACAAACATTTTCAAAAAGGTACAATGATAGGGGGGAACAGCCACTTTTGCCCCTTTGGAGATGCTCCTGAAATACGGGTGAAATTTTAAAAATATATGGTAGACATTTAAGATTGTAAAAGCAGCTGAAAAAAACCAAAATCAATTTTACTCGAAATCTGCGTGCTTATAGATAATAGGTTGAATCACGATTAAAAGAAAAATCACTCAGTATACTCATGTCATCTGGTATATTTTCGTAGTGATTATATTATGTTTTAAATGACGTCGTCGAAACAAATATTTTCCTTTGGTCTTTGCACAACATGCTTGTGGCAAACAATATACAGAGTGATCAACATAACGTAACATACTCATAAACTACCTTGGAAACTATTAGCTTTGTTCGGCATTTGTTTCACTGAAAATTTAAGAAACAAATAGCTGTAAATTGTTGCATAATTATTATTTGCCCTATTATATTTGAAGGAGTGAAACTGGATGATCGACATTACAAATTATCAACACTAAAATAATGTGTAGTTCAACTGAAATTTATTCGTCTATAGATGGAACTTGTTTTTACATATGGGTTACTATTTTAAAAATTAAAAGTAGACAGTGATTTCACCACTCCCAAAAAGTAACGTCTTCTTCTATTGGCTTGTACCTACTACTCTACTTACGTGTTTTTCTATCATCACACTTCTCTTAGTCCTGAATTATGATTCTCCACTTATCCATTCCAATTATTTCCAAATCCTTCGCAACCACAACCATCCACCTCTTTCTTGGCTGTCCTCGTGGCCTCTTCCTTGTTGGTTTCCAAGACATTACTGTTTTGACTGTGCTGCTGTTGTCATATGCCCAAGTCATTAGATCCGCTGACCTCTTATGTACAGCTTATAATCGGAGTCATAAGAACATATTATTTACAGCAGTCCCTTATTGAACTTTTTCTCCGCATACCAATGCTAATCGTCTACTTGTGACCTACATATCGTCCTTCAAATTGTATTCTCAAAAGTACTATATCTTTAGGGTCTTAAGTGTTAAAGATTCTACTGGTCCTATTATACTGTTCTCGTCCACGTTTCGTAGCCGCATGAAAATGTGGCTACTATTGTCTAATTTTCGACAAAAAATAACGATAATGGGAGATTTTGTTTACATTTTCTAAAAAAAAAAAAAAATTCTGACAAAACGTTAATAATTTCCGAGATAATTCGAGTGTCTTATCTTATACGTTAATATGACGATCATCCTGTACGTATGGCAACTGGTTATAAGTTTAGCCGTTTAGGGTTCGTAAGTAATTAAACAAAAATCCACTTATGCCGTTCACTGCGGTTCAGTATTGTTGTTCTATATATAAATATATGTGTGTGTGTGTGTGTGTTTGGGTGTATTTATAATAATAATATATACATTTACGCGCGTGTGTATATGTTTTCGTGGTGATGTGATAATAACTCGCAGCTCTGCACCCTCTGACGCGAACGTTTAAAAACCATTATACACACGAACGGCGTGGCACAAACGCGGCGAGATTTATTTACCCGATATTTTTTGGTTTTTTTTTTTTTTAGTAAATCCTCTATAATAATATATGTGTGTAACTATACTACTATACTCATGCGTTATCTAATCGCGGAACGGTTAAAATTATACTCAATACGAGCCTAACACTATAATGTTTCACACGATACGAGTATTGTACATGTATAGAATACGCGGTAAAAGTATTTTGAATATTTTCGTTTTCCGTTAAAAAAAAATATAGAATAAACACGAATCCGCTTGCAGTAGGTGATGGAATTTGGAAAAAAAAAATATTAAACAAGACAGGTATTTCGTACATAGATAACGTATACCTTCCTAAGGCGTTAAAAATTCCAAAAGATCCGTTCGAAATTCATTAATAAATGCCATTTAAAATATGTTTTTTTTTTGCATATTTTATAAATAAATTTATTATGTTATCATAATATGTTTAATTATATCGAAATACAGTAAAATACAATATTTTGAAAACATAATTACAAGATGAAACATAATGGAAAGAAAACATTTTCTAATAAAAAGTACGTACTCGTATGCACAAATATCCCGTGTAAAATATTGTTTAACAATTTTATATTATATACTACACAATAATATATAATTTATAATTATTACATTTTTGTAAAACTATCAAAAAGTGTATGAACAAAAGAAAACAAAACCTACAAATCTAAAATGCCATAAAAAGCAAAAACGGGTAAATAATAAAAGTAGCAAAGCTAAGGTCGTCGTAAGTGTAATTCAAACTTACGACCAAAAATGAAATAAGCTAAAATAAAAGAATAGACATTTACTACAATTGCCCACAAATTTACAGCCTTACAAATAATTTTGAAATATAATACATACCTATTAATAATAATACGTATATATCGGATAATTTTTTATTTTCTATTCAAAAATTTACATAGAACGAATTCGAATAAAAATCGAAATTTCGACATCAATTTGTATGCGCATTTATGTATAAATATAATTTGCATTGGCGTGTATGTGTATAAAGTTTTATTTGTCCAAAGGGTAGCAACATATCAATCTTAATGATAAATTCGGATTTAGCTAAAGGGATTGGTGCTGCAAACGAGTGCGGTTCATCGTGGCGTGCTTAATACAGACTGACGTGGAACGTATGCGAGTAAATCGCGACTGTTTTCATAAAGAGATAATTAAAACTTGTCACCCGCCGTACAAGAGATTTCTACTTTAATGCCTTCGAAACACGAACATCGCATTTTGTGTTTTACCTTTTGATGTAATACGACATACTAGAATAATCAAAAAACGGCGCATTTGAATTATCATTATTTATTTTTTTATTTTATATATTCTCGCGTGTCGAACGTTAAATTACTGCGGTATTTTTTTCTGTTTTATACCTAACCTAAACGCTTACGACATTTGTGAACTGTACACACGATTTTTGTTGGTACACGATCAAAACGAAACGGAACTCGACTAACGCTCAGTAGAGGACTTACGGAGTTCATGGAGGGTGGGGGTGGGTTGAGAGCCGGGGTCTGTACTCCGGATATAATTTCAATAAAATATCATCTGAAAAAAAAACAGGCGTCTTTATTCGACGAAAACCTTTTGTAATACGTACTATTTTTCAGAACCCCTCTTCGAGAAAAATGTTTAAAACTGATAACGCTATTGGAGAAAAATCTCGATATGATATGTTTACGCGTTAGACACGGAAATTATTATCGAGTTGTGAGACTATAGGAGAACAATTTCCGTTATGCATACCGTTTAGGGATTTATGCGTATTTTGTAGGCGGGGAACACGCGAAGGAGAAAACATTATTATTATCGAGTGTGTCATCGGCGGGTGTGAACGTTTTAATAACCATAATAAAAACAAAACAAAAAAAAAAACTCAAAGAGGGAGTGAGAACCCGAAATACTATACATGAAACCAAAACGAATATTATAATATTTATACATCGCACTGCAGCAGACACCCTTGTCATTATCGTCACCCCCTTATTGTTGTTATCGAAATAGGAAGTCCACTTGACGCGCTCCGTGTTTAAAAAAAAAAAAGTTATGATATGGTATTTGGGCGCCTAAAATAACGACAGGGGGATGTTTTATCCGAACGTCGACACGCTGAATAGAATATTGTTATTACAGGGGGTAGGTACGCATCGTAAATTGTTTCCTGTAAGAATTAAAAAATTCGATAAACCGAAAGAAAATCATACGTGACTGCGGTACTGTGTAAAACAACATTCAGGATTGAAAAAGTGTTAAATTTTGCAATTAAAAAAAAAAAAAAAAAAATTGTATTATATAGGTGCATTCAATCTACGTACCAAACAATGACATGGTTTATGCGCACACATGATTATAATATCTTCGGTACCCGGGAAACAAGGGCTCAAGCTCTATAGTTTTCAATATGAGCAAATTAAATATTGAAAATTGCAAAAATGACATAATGACATAATCGCCCGAATGGCCTAACCTAAATACGGCTTTCTATTCGTTTAATTATATGACTTATACATTTTTTTTTCCCAAGTGCATCATATATATATATTTGAATATAGTGACTTGAGATGTTTTAATTTTCAGTGTAACATGACGTGTTAGAATATTATACGTCATAGATTTGATTATAGACGTATGCCATTTATACCGAAAAGACGCGGCATACTTCGCACGTGGGTGGGTCACTATCTGTTGTAGGCGAAAAGTTGGGAAGGTAGTAGAGGGGAAATTGAATGCATCTGTACTCAACGGTTAATCATCGCTAACAAAGAAAAAATTCTGAACGGAGTTCGGTTGATGGTGTTGCTTTTTCAACATTATATAATATGTCATATTATGGTAAAATAATTACATATGCATTAAACATTTTCTTTAATAATATTTGTTTTGTTTGTACCTATTTTTTCGTTTTTTCTCATTTATTAGAAAAACTCTTGGGAAAATCAAATAATCACCTCCTCAAAGTACCTCCCCAGTCTGATTTTTTTCAGAAAAAGTGCTATCATTGTAAATCGAAGCAAGATTTCTAATAGAAAAGTTGTTCACAGATAAAAAAAAAAAAAATAAACACGGTAAAATCAATGTATTCCTCGCTCCACTCAGAATCTAAAATAATGAGAAAAAATTACTAATTAGAAAAAAAATTTAAAAAATATTAAAAATTGACTGGAGCCATCATTTTTCCTAGGGACCAATGATTTATAAAGATTTATAAAGTGATTTTTCAAGTTTAATCCCGGCAGTTATTTCGCGATAAAAACAATAGTAATCATACCGGTGCGCGGTGGTCGGTTGTAAACAATAATGACCACGAGCGTGTGCACACTTCATCCACAGGTTATATGTACAATATGCAATTAGAACAATTTGGCCACAAAATATAATTAAGTATAGGTACCAGAATTGGGCATATGGAAGCCCAAACAAAATTACAATTAAAACGTCGTGCGGTTTAATAACGGTACAGATCGGTACAAACTGTTGTTCGAATCAAATCAATAAACAAATGTAAAAACGTTGAAGTACAGTCGTGCAATATTATATTGAACAATTCGAACCCCTTCGCGAATCCGCAGCATATTATACTGCAGCGGCATACACCGCATAGTGCATTAACCCCCTTGAGCACGCCAATGATAACGGCAACTCATAAGTGATCGTATTGATATGCCAGTTACCGAATTTACGCGAAATAAGTGTACAATCGCCAGTGTTGTGTTTCACTTGTACGTCACACGAGTATTATAGGTCGTAGGAAAGCTGATATTTTACCGTCGGGTATCTGTAGCACCGTTTGGCACTAGAATGGTATATTATAGATCGGGCACTAGTTGAGTCTAGTTATGTGTTTTTATTTTTTTTATTTTAAACGATTTATCATAATGAGCCGAATAAATTAAATGTGCTGCCGTACCTTTGTTTGCGATAGGTATACCTATCGCAAAAGGTATACGCAAAGGTACACCAAGCACAGTATTTGTGTCCAACGAAACAATGCAGCGACGGTAACTGCGTGTATCGCGTATAATACTACAGGTATACACTCTTTCTGCACGTTCCTCGAACTGTCATACGTAATAAATTGTAATAATTATAACCATCAGTAATGAAAATAGAAAAAACCGCATGTATCGGACGCGTGTACGTTTAAAAGAATTAAATTGAATTACGTAGGTACATACTTAATACAATAACGTATCGTGTATGCCTCCCGCAAGTACTGAGATATAAGACACAAGCAGCTGATTTACATAAATCCCGGTTACCGACAATAGTTATAGGCCTAAGATCTGTAATATTCATATTTGAATTCGATTTTATTTTCGTACGCCGACACCGGTAATATTGTATTAGGAGACATTGCGTTTTACGAAAACGTAAAATCGAATTATTATCGTCGAAATCGCGATTAACAGCGAAACATAATTTCATTTCGCGGTCTCGAATTTGTACAGCGTAACGGTTCGCGTAAACACGACGAAATTCTAAGAGCAAAAATACGCGTGAGAGACGGTGTTTCGAATAAACTCGTTAACGCCCGGGCGGCGGATTCGAATTTTGCGCGGCAATTCGAGAAGGCTCGTATTGGTGTCG